AGAACTATTCTGTTAGCTAACTGTTAACTATGTTAGTTGACGATTAGCTTGTAAAAACCTACTTTCAGCTAATAGAATTAATAATCAACTAATAAAGTTAACAATTAGTTAACAGAACTAACAAAATATTATAAAGTGAGGGCTATTTTCTTCAATTCTAATACTAATAGGTGAAGAGCTAAAAGTGTCATGATATAAGGTGAGGGGTTAAAATCTAAAAATCTAATAAGGTAAAGGGCCAAAGTAGGTTTTTGCTGTGATAATGAGGCTACATTAGCACAAACTTATAACCAAGTATATAATGAAAAGTCTAGACATATTAGTCTAAGACATAGTTATGTAAGGCAATTAATTGTTGATGGGGTGAACACCATAAAGTATGTAAAGTCTAGTGAAAATTTAGTAGATCCTTTAACAAAAGGATTAACAAGAGAAAAAATATATAAAACATTTATAGGGATAGATCTCAAGTCCATTAATAAAAGTCACAAATGATGGAACCTCGACTTAACGCCTGATAAAAACTTCAAGTCTTAAGTTCAATAAGTGAAGTACATCATATGAATGTGATTGCAAGTATTCAATTTATAAATAATATCATCCTAAGTGGAAGAGTACTTGGTAACCGAATGAAATAAAGAAGAGATTGAGTTTTACCTTGAATAGGTCATATAACAGATTTCTATTAAAGTGTTTACTACAGTGGCACTTTTGATGGGATCTACTTATATGAGTGGAAGTGGTGCCGCTTCTAAGAGTTGGGGAGTTAACTCTAATAGCACTCATGAAAAGGATACAAGACACAAGACACAAAACATAGGACACATGGCCAATTTTTGTGTCAATGGATGCTAAATTCTTTATTTGGAAAGCTTGAAGTCTTATGTGTGACATCTGCTCAATTAGTCACTTAGAATCGCTAGTTCAAAGCATAAGTCTACCATGCAATTCTAACTAATTTGCCAACAGATGTTCACTACGTGAAAGGTTCAAATCGTAAGATACCTTCATATATGCATAAGATTTCCAAAACAATTGATAAGCTGTTCTATTTTGAAAATGGTGGGAGAATGTTGAGGAATTTTCAAAATAGTTTCAAGATTTGGATTCGAACCACAAAAAGTTGATTCGAAACAATTACATAGAATGCATTTGAGAAAGTACGATTTTGGTTCAAATTATATAAATATGAATTGAATTGTTTACGTAAAATCAAAATTCGAAAAGTTACGATTTTGGTTTGAACCACATTTATACGGTTTGAATAATTTACATAAGAAATAAGAGGGAATTTTGATAAGTTTTTGAAGGAAGAGTAGATAACTTTAAAAGGTATGGAAATACGTGAGATAAAATTCAAATCGAACCAAATGACTTTTGGAAAAGTTTTTAATGAATAAGTTTAACAAAAATTCAAATATTTTCAATTAATAAACTGAAAAGGAATGTTTGTTTCCAACAAATATCTTACTCCTATAAATGTGAAATTATCTCTTCTTCTTCTTTCGATCTTGAACACAAAAACAAATCCTTGCTATTATCTAAATAAAATAGCATTTTTTTTTATTAAGATTGCTGTAGAAATCACTGTATAAAAATTATTGTTTTGTCGTTTTCCAAAAGACAGTTTAGTGGTTGATCTTGCTAGTGCTTCGGCAAATCAACAAGGTGCTTCATTATATCCTATGGACATTTCAGGTTACCCCTTTTGCATACCAAATTTGATGGGGGCAAAATTAATTTAAAGGAAAGTGGCATTTGCAGCATGCCAACTTCATCTGTCGCAACGTTCATCCCTTCTGTCTTTTAATTATTGTAGTCCCCACTCTCTATACCCTTTAAAGCCTTAAACACCTCTACCATTGTTGGTCTCAGGTCCTTACTACCTTGCAGGCACTGAAATGCCATCTCTGCCACTGCAGTTATCATTGTCTTCACCTTATGATCTGATTCATACCCAAGAGTTGGATCTACAAGTTCGTGTAGTGCTCGGTTTTGAATCTTGTTAATGGCCATGTTAGACAAGTTTATCTCATGGCGTTGCCTGGTGATGTCAACAGCTGGCTTGGATGATATTAGCTCAATCAAGACGACCCCAAAGCTAAATACATCACTCTTGTCTGTCAGCTGGTAGCATTCATGATATTCTGGATCAACATAACCAGGAGTCCCTTGGGGAGCAGTAGAAACATGTGTAACAAGTTTTGGAAAGAAACGAGAAATTCCAAAATCTGCAACTTTAACAGAAAAATTCTCATCAAGGAGAATGTTGTTGGTTTTCACATCACGGTGGATGATATCAGAAGCATGGAGGTAAGTCAATGCGCTTGCAGTCTCTATGGCAATCTTCAAATGAATGAGCCAAGGAAGTGAAGAAGGTTTGGCACGTTCACCATGAAGATGGTCAGCAACGGTTCCATTGGAAATGTACTCATATACAAGCAAGAGTTCACGGTAGTGGCGAGAGGTATAACCATAAAGTAATACAAGATGCCGGTGGCGCACCTGAGCTAGGATCCCAACTTCATTCCAGAATTGTTCCACTCTTTTGTAGTTGTTTTCATATAAGCGTTTGACTGCAACAGGTCGCCCATCTTGGAGTGTGCCTGGTTTAGGAAAAACAAGAGTAACTGGATTTTCATCAAACTGTCAACCTCTCCAACTAGTTATACTAAAAATGAAAAAGATCTATTGTTGAGTTCTCCCCTCACCATAATACACGGTGCCAAAGCCTCCATCACCTAGTTCCATGGCAGAATCAAATTTATTGGTGGCCTCTTCAAGTTCATTATAGGTGAAGTTATGCACTCCAGGGAAGTTACCTCCTTTCCCATGATCAGTCAGTGAAGCCGGAGCAGAGGATATCTCATTTGTAACTGAGGAAGATCGAGCATGTTTGAGCACTCTTCTGTGCCGAACGAAGAATTTGAACACAATGCATGTTATTACTACGCCTCCAAAAAAACCACAGCCAAGACCTGTGTGAATGAAGTGGAAATCGTACGATGGTGACACTAAACATTTGTTCGATTTCAACAAGAAATCTGCACGCAAACGCCACATGAGTAAGAAACAGACAAACAAAATAGATTATTGAGTCAAATTACCGATAGCAAGTTTCCATTTCCATCTATTATCATCACCTGTGGATGTAACAATAGAAAGTAATGAAGAGTTAGAAAATATAGACATTAAAGGCAAATAATGGTTTAGGCAAATTGTGCAATCCAAAAGCTGCCATACTTCGAGCTACATTCTTCCTTCAAAACTATATAATCTAAATTTTGTTTTAATTAATACTTTCAAGCATAGAGATACTTTGTTTGTAAAACTTGGCAGAAGCATAACTGCATGATAGATAATATTCCTATTACATAAGATGGTGACACTAAACATTTGCTTGATTTCAACAAGAAATTTGCATGCAAACGCCACAAGTAAGAAACAGACAAACAAAAAAGATCATTGAGTCAAATTACCTACAGCAAGTTTCTGTTCCCCTTTATTATCATCGCCTGTGGGTGTAACAATACAAAGTAATGAAGAGTTAGAAAATGTAGACATTAAAGGCAAATAATGGTTTAGGCAAATTGTGCAATCCAAAAGTTGCCATACTTCAAGCTACATTCTTCCTTCAAAACTATATAATCTA